TGGAGAGAGTGAGCAGTACCAAGTTCCTGGGGGTGCACATGTCTGAGGACCTCTCCTGGACCAACAACACCACGTCCCTGGCCAAGAAAGCTCAAACATGCCTCTACTTCCCCCACAAACTGAGGAGAGCCAGTGCCCCACCCCCCATCGTGTGCTCCTTCTACCGGGGCACCATTGAGAGCGTCATCACTGGCTGCATCACTGTGTGGTACGGAGGCTGTACTGCCTCCTGCAGAAGGACCCTGCAATGCATAGTGAAAACAGCCAGCAAGCACCTCTGCCTTCCCTCACAGACATCTTCAACACCCACAGAGCCATGAGCATTGCTGATGACACCTCCCACCACACACACTCCCACTTCAGACTCCTGCCATCAGGGAGAAGGTATCAATCTTCAGGCCCACTCCACCAGACTTACAAACAGCTTCATCCACCAGGCTGTGAGGATGCTGAACAATGTCCATTACCTCCCCCCCTCTGCCCCTGGACTGTGACCCACCACAGAACATCAAAAGACTACCCCCTGCTGTTTGCACAAATTCAATACATTCCCACTTTTTGTTATATTACAGGTAAATCTGCTGCTGACTGTTGTGGAAACAAACAAAAAAAAACTACCTCTGCTGTTTTACCGTCTGTTATGTTATATGTAAATCTGCTGCTGACTGTTTTTTTTTTTTGCCAGGATATCTGCTGCTGTCAGTCACTTGCAATACTATCCATGTATACCTCATATGCTATTTGCACCTCATCACCAACATCCTGATGATGCTGAACCATCTGACAATCTCCTTTTATTGTTTGCACAACTGTCACTGATTGTACATGGTTTTGAGTCACAGCTTATTGGCTGTACTGTTTAGATTTATCCTAATTACGTCAATCCAGTTCTTATTCTATTCTATTCTACTTTATTCTATTTTAGTTCCTAAATGTTATGGCACCCAATACCAGGTGAGATTTTCTGTATGTCTTGCACATATGGTGAATTGACAGTAAAATCCTTGAACCTTGAACTTCTTCAGTCTTCATAATGTATGCAATGTGAATAAACCTCATATTATCAAAATTCATTCATATGGTCTAAAATGACTGATTGCGGCTTTAATCTCGCTGCTGCTCTACTCCAATATCAATCAAAACACAAGGTCACATTCGGTCTCGGTCTTAACTACGGCAAGACTGTGTTTTCAATTTCCCCATTGGTTTAATTTCCCGGGAAAATGTTATGATAATGAGGTCACAATCTACCAATCCCGATGCTGCAAATTCAGGCGGCTCTGCCGTCGATGACGACCAGTGAGAGGAAACTGTGCAATGCCATAAAAGGAAAATACTCCCGCATGCGCAGTGGTTTGAGTTTTGTTTGAAGTGAATTGCTGCCTGGAACTGCCCTATAAGCTGCAAAGTCGCCAAGCATTTGATTTTTGGTGTATATTTTCCTCCTTCGTTTAGTACCTCTATGCATCGTAGAGACTATGTTAGGCCATCACTATCCAAATGCCGAAAAGTCTCAACAACTGGTCAACTATGTGGAGGATTATCTGGAATGTGTGGAGTCCCTGCCTTTGGACATACAAAGAAATGTTTCCCTGCTTCGAGAAATTGATGCCAAGTATCAAGGTATTGTGTTTACACGTTTTTATCGGTCATTATAACTGCGTGTATAAAACTGGCAAACATTGACGGCAGTCCTAACACGGTGGGCTGAAATGGACAGGCGCGAGCCTTCTGTTCCCATTTTGTATGAACCGAGTGCCCCTTGTTGTCTCCTTCAACAAACAGCAGTGTGACCGACTACAGTGTCCACACTGAGCCGTGTTAAATAAACAAGACAGCCAGCGGACAGTTACCATAGTCCGCATATATTCCGTTCTGTTTTGTGTGCAACACCAAACTCTATGACAAAAATGTGAAATTTGACATTTCTTTCTTTCGGCATACGTGTACATACACATTTTGACCAGAGACGAGATATGTTGTGATTACTTTGTGTCCAGTGGCAAATTCGGCGTTAATATAGTCCAAAAACTAGCACTACATAATAATAAAACCCCAACTTTATCTTTAGGGACACACACACCACACAACGCGAACACCAGTGGAAACCATTACTAAATCTGGTCATTTGAAATACATGCTTCTTGTTTATTTAATGTAAGCCGACGTCCAGAACGTAGAGTTAAGATGTGTAGAAGATGACTCGTTGTATTCACTGCCGTTGTCTTCAGTGTAAACTGGTACCATATCCCATCCTGCACACGAAGGAGAGCTGTTCAACATTTCGTTTGTGTGCAGTATTTATCTGCTAATGTTTCTGGAAGCCTACGTTAAGGTAGTTAGCAATGCAGACGTTGATTCGTCAACAAAACCCTATTGTCGATAAGGTTAGAAGAATTTTGTTGTTAATGTTTTTGTTGAAACGGAGTGAGCTGCGTCTTAAAGCAGCTCCTGCTGTCAGTAAGTTCTCCGACACGATCGAAGACGAGAACAAACGCTGTGTGCATTAGCTTTGGATGATCTTTTTGAGCGAGATCACTCGTCTTTCCGATCTTGTGCCGTGTGTGCGCCGCATACCCTCCTCTTCCAGCTAACCCCCTTCAACACCGGACTGCCGTCACTTCCTGTGGGCGGGAGTTCGCTGCCGATCTGATCTCGTCCTCCAGCCTCTGCTTTACATGATCAGCTTCAGTTTCACTTCAACAAAAGTTAAAATGTCTGCTGAATACCTGCAAGATAGAGATGAAATTCATTCACCGCTTCTACATAAAAGTTCGTGTTTAATTTTTCACATACAGGGTGTTTAACACTGGAGCCAGTCATGTGTAGCTGTCATGTTCTTAAATATTCATAGCAAACACATTAAACATACGTTCAGAGACAGACACGGTACATCAGACTTAACCACACACACCTTTAATCGATTTAATATCATGTGTGGTATTCTTTCCTTATAGTGCTTCCACTTTTCAGATGAATGAATGAATCCTTGGCTTATTTTATGGAATAATGCAGTCAGAATGACTTGTCATTTAAATAGAGTATGCATTTGCTGTACATCACTAGAACTTGGTGAACACATGAATGTTTAATGAATGAAACAACAATAAATAAAGTAAGACTTAGAAATTTGTACAGTAACCCATTACTTTGTATTCTGCACTTTGCAGAGGTGCTGAAGGAGGTGGATGAGGTGTTTGAGAAGTACAAAGGTGAACAAGATGCAGCTCAGAGAAAGCGCCTGCAGATCCAGCTGCAGCGGGCGCTTATCATCAGCCAGGAGCTGGGTGATGAGAAGATCCACGTGGTGACCCAAATGACAGAGCTGGTGGAAAACCGTTCCCGCCAGATGGACTCCCACTCCCTGTGCCTGCAGGAGCCCAGTGAGGCTGAGCGGGTCACCACAGAGCGTCGCTCCTTTTTTTTTGCGCACATCGACCCGGCGCCCACGGCGCCAGCGCAACAGCGAGAGCCGTGACTCAAGCCACGCATCAGCTAATGGCTCTCTGGTGGATGACCCCGTGGAGGAGCTGTCCATCCCTCCATCACGTGAGAAGAAATCCAAGTCCTCAAAGAAGAAGAAGCGCAAGGCCAAACAGGAGCGAGACGCCTCACCGGTAGACTTTGCCATCGACCCTAATGAGCCCACTTACTGTCTCTGTGAACAGGTTTCTTATGGTGAGATGATTGGCTGTGACAATGACCAGTGCCCCATTGAGTGGTTCCACTTCTCCTGTGTGGGACTGACCTACAAGCCCAAGGGTAAGTGGTACTGCCCCAAATGCAGAGGGGACAATGAAAAGACCATGGACAAAAGCCTAGACAAGAACAGAAAAGACCGTCGGTCCAGGTAGTGACCTTCATCTTGAAGGCTTAGGACTCTGCGGTTTAGCTGACAACAGTACTTGTGGCTGTAAGTGCACAGCTGAACACCATTAGGGGCAGCACTTATTATTAATCAAGGACAAGTTGTGATTAAACCTGTGCTCTTAGTTCACTGATTGTGCCCACTGGCTCTAACTCTACTAGTGTCTGCAGGGAGTCCATCTGCTGCAGGAGTCATCAGCTTGAAGCCGCCATCTTCCTCGTGTTTTGGTTTTTGTGAGATTTTTTTTGTTTGTTTGTTTGTTTTTTGTTTCAGTCATGGGGTGAAAAAGGAGAGCATCATTTGGGTTGCTATCCCTCCTTCATTCTGGTTTAGGTCCTAATATAAAATGAAGCA